TTTTTTTTAAAAAAAAAGGAAGAAAAAAAAAACACGCACGTCACCGTCCACCAAAGAAACCACTGGTCTCGGAGGATTCAACCAGGGGAGGGGGTCACACCTTGTATACTCCCCTCATTTGCTATGATCTTTCTCTTTAAAAGAAATCCCTTATTCTTCTTTTCCCTTTTGTGAAACAAATCATCTCCACATACATTTCCTCTTTTTTGATTAGCACGTGAGACAGCTACTCAGCCTTATAAGTACACCACGTCTGAGCCTCTTCCATCTGGTTCGTATACAATCGCCGCCGCAGCCTCCGAAGGCGACGACAACGACAGAGAGATTATGGATTCCAAGGGAGCAGCAGCTCCAGCAGCAGCAGGAGGAGGAGGAGGAGGGGCAGGGGCGGGAGGTGTTCCGGCGACACCGGCGGCACCGACGCCGCATCCCGGAGGTGGCGCGCCGACGACAACGACGACAACGCCAGCAATCGAGGAACCGACGTCATGTCGCGAATGTCGAAGGAGGAGGGTCAAATGCGACGGCACCATGCCCGTGTGCGCCGTTTGTACAAAGTACAGGAGGCACTGTCTATACGACAAGCATAGCCGGACTCGTCTGACGCGCAAGTATGGGGAAATTCACTCTGTTTCCTGCTCCTCCCCCGTCCCGGATTTGCTGACGATGGAATCTCATCGATATCAGGCAGCTCACCATACTCGAGACCCGGCTGGAAAAGGCAGAGGCCCTTCTGCTAAGCCACTTTACCGAGACGCAACTAGCCGAGATGATGGATGGCGCGGCCGCCCTACCGCTGGGGACCAGGACACCCTCACCCCGCAGCAACGCGGCGACCGGCGGTGCCGCTGCTGCACCCCCTCCTCGTGCATCGGTAGACCACCCCGCCCCGATCCAGCAGCAGCACATGGCACCTACCCCTGCACCGACACAGCTCAACATCGGCTTGGAGCCGCCGGGTACATCGTCGCAGGACGGCAGCAACCGGGCGTACGAGCTGGCGCCGTCGGTGGCCGACAATTTTGAGTGGAGCGAGCAGGATTCGTCGTGGTCGTCTGCGCACGGGACAGGTATCATGTCCTCGGACGAGGGCCGGATGCCGCAGGCCATCATGGACGGGATGGCGTCTCTGTCGGTTGGCGAGCGTCGAGGGTATCTGGGATCGGCCTCCGGGGTGGCGCTGCTGCGGCAGATCCTCTCGGCACGCAGGGAGGGCGACGTCTCGCCCCAGCAGCTGGAGCAGCTTTTCCAGCAGCAGTCGGAGCAGTCGCAGTGGTTCCGCGCGCAGTCGATGCTCAGCCGCGTGGCCGTTGAGAACCTCATCGACGCCTTCTTCGCCTTGTACCACCCAACCTTCCCCATCGTCCACGAGCCCACTTTCCGCGCGCAGTACGCCGGCATCCTCCCCCGTCAAGACAAGGATAAGTGGAACGTGCTGGCCAACATCCTCACAGCCCTTGGGTCGTTTGTGAGCAGCGGGAGCGCGGATGCCACGGACCTGCCCATCTTCCAGGCTGTCCAGAAGGGCCTCTTCGCCGATAACCTCGAGACGGGCAATCTAACCTTGGTGCAGGCGTTTGGCCTCTCGGCAAACTACCTTCAGAAGAGGAACAAGCCCAACACGGGGTACAACTACGGCGGCCTGGCACTCCGGCTGGGCATCGGATTGGGACTGCACAAGGAGTTTGACAGCGGAAACGTTTCACCTTTGCAGATGGAGATTCGTCGTAGGGTGTGGTGGTGTCTATGCGTCCTCGATGTAGGAGCTACAATCTCCTACGGACGTCCGCTGAATTGGCCGCAAGCCGGTGTCGAGGCTACCTTTCCTAAGAATATCCATGAAAAGGTACGAGCCTCCTTCCCCCAACCGTGGCCTTGCGGCAAGAAGGAAAAAAGGGTCTGACATGATTGCAGGACCTCGTGTCAGACTCGGAAGACTACCCGCCCGAGGTCGATGAGCTGACGCTGTACACCTACGTGCGCGTCCAGTCGGCCTACCACCTCATCACCATGAACGTCTACAACCGCCTGATAACAGGCACCTTCCCCGCGGCGGCCGAGCTCGTCAGCCTCGACGACCAGTACATTGGGTCGTGGCTGTCCCAGGTACCGCACTACTATCAGGTCTTCCCGCCCCCCGGGTCTGCCTACTCGCTGGGCGTGGGGATATCTCAGTGGCGCTACCGCAACCTCCGCATCGTCATGTACCGCCCCTTCCTGGTGCGTTGGGCCTTGAGCAACGCCGCCGCCGCCGCCACCGCCCAGCCTTCCGCCGCCGCGTCGTCATCTTCGTCCTCGACCGAGAGCCTGGCCGTCTTCCGCTGCCTTGACGCCGCAAAGGAGTCCATCGCCTCCATAGAGGAATACTGGAACACGCGCTCCCACTCCCGCCTCGCCGCCTGGTACGTCCTGTACTTCCTCTTCCACGCCACCCTCATCCCCGTCCACTGTCTACGCCACAGCCCGGAGCACCCCTTCGCCGACGACTGGCGAGCCCAGGTCCAATCTTCAGTCGCAGTCATGGAGTCCATGTCGGAGCTCAACACCAACAGCTCCAAGTGTCGCGATATCTGTCTGCGACTATGCTGGCCACACCTACAGCCGCAACACCAACAGCAACAACAGCAACAACAGCAGCAGCAGCAGCAGCAGCAGCACCAACAGCAGCACCAACAGCAACAACAACAGCAGCAGCAGCAGCAGCAACTACAGCAGCAGCAACATGTTGAAACTAGTAGCAAGCAGGAGCAGCAGGACCACCATGGTATTCTACAAATGTACGCCCCTGCTCCTGCTCCTGCTCCTGCAGACGACGTCAACACTGCTGCGGCGGCTGCTGCCGCTGTTGGTGCTGGCGGCGTTCCCCCGGCTACAGGCCCCTTTGTGCCGCAGATTGGTGAGAGCGAAGTTGCCTCCATGATGGACGGGTACGATGCGTGGTGCCAGCATATGGCCAACACAGGTGGTACCATCCCGTCGTATCAGTGGCCTGGTGTCAATGACCAGGGATTAAATTTCTTCTATTAGCTGTGTGAATATCTTCCTACCTTTTATTTCAGCCTCTTTTCTGTCAATTTATCCTGTTTTCTTGTTGTAAGCATGACGTGGTTGGAAAAGAATGGGTGTCATTCATAAGCAGGATACGCACAAAAGGGAGGTGTTGAACTACAAATTTTTGTATTATTTTAATTTTTTTTTTCAAGCGTAATGTAATAAATATATCATGCATCGTGCCCCCTTTTATCTCTTCTTGTCGCACTCCCAGTGCTTAAGAGATTGTTCCCGAGTTGTCGTCACAACTAAAGACCTTGGTTAGAGTCAGTCCCATTGGAAAATGCATCCTTGATAGAGACTGCGACACCATATCTGCACACACACAAACGAGAATTAGCATATCTCCCCCCCCCCTCCCCCCCTTCCTGCCTTTCCCACGACGAGGATAATATGGACCGCACCAGGCTTACGTGCCACCGATGACCATGAACATCCCCACGAGAAAGATGAGGATGTGAAAGGCGCACTTGGCCCTATCCCTGACCGACACGGAGCTGGCAGCCCCGAAGTCGAAGTCGTGCATCCAGAGCAAAGCAGGGAACACGAGGCTGAAGGGCGCAAAGCAGGCGGAACCGGCAAGACCGAGGATATAATGGAGAATAGGCACCGACTCTGCGACGACGAATCCCAGCACCCCAAGGACGATGCTGGCCCCGAGTCAGGTGGACCAGTGCACGGCCGCGTTCTCCTGCAGGTGACGCGATCCCCTGAGGGCGCGGACGAAGACGTACTTGGCCGCGATGTGCTGGTATATGCCTACGCCGATGACCAGGCCCGGGAGCGCGACCCCGTAGCACACCTTCTTGAAGAGGACGCCCGCGCTGCTGAATACCGGCGTGGTCAGCCACACGCCGCACCATCGATGCACGACGAGCGAGAAGGCCAGGTACATGGCACCCGCGAGCGCCCCGGTGACGTACACGGCCTTGCGGTAGTCCTGCGGCCTCTTCATCTCCGACATGACAGGGAGGTACGTGGAGCTCCCGCTCCCGCTGATGAAGATGTTCGCGCTGGCCGTGATGCCGGCGGCGAAGCCCGGCGTGGCGACGGACACCCATCCCAGCTCGAACTCGCCGTGGGCGGGCGCCGCCGCGGGACGGCCTTGCTGCTGCTGCGTTACGGCGACGACGAAGATGAGCACGGAGGTGAAGGTCACGATCTGAAAGACTGATCTGATACCTGCTTTGCTGTCACGTCATTCAGGTGAGGGGGTCATGGGAATACGTCTATTATAAGGGTGCCAATGGTCTTCTCCCGTGCGTAAAGAAAATAGTAGATCATAGTAGATCGTAGTAGATCGTAGTAGTAGTGTTGGTAGTAGTAGTAGTATTAGTAGTAGCAGTATTCCAAAAAAGAAACCCATGCATGGATCCGACTAGTTTCCGTTTTGGAACAAGGATATAAAAAAATACCGACAACTGTTTCCGCAACCTAATACAGACGATATAAAAATCACGCCTCGGGTTCCTTTCCATCCCTTTCCAAGAGAACAAGATAAAAGGGGAAAACTCGGCAAAGAAACAACATAAAAAATATAAAAAATAACACCGAAAACTCCTCATGCTGTTTTTCTCTTCTTCTCCCGTCTCCGCTGGAAGTCAGCGGCCGACCATCTGAAGATAGCCTACCCAGAAGAACCAGTTCAACTTCCTTGATGCCATTGCCAACCCGTGCTGCTGCCTTTGCAACATGCATACTAGTACACACCCTGTCTTCCCCCTTTCTCTCTTATGAACAGATGCTCGAGATGTGTACAAGAGCTGTGGGCCCCTTCTTGGGATTCGGTGTATTCTTCAGTCAGCCTTGGTGCTGCCGTTCTGGCCAAGGAGGCCGTCCTTGGGGTTGCCGATGGGGTCGTCGAGGTTGAAGTAGCCACCACGGTTGCGACGGCGGTTGCGATACCACGAATAGGCGCCGATGATGAGGCCGACCACGCTGGCGGTGCTCAGGTAAGGGTGCTCGGAGAAGGTGACGCCCAGGTCGAGGAAGAACTTTTGCACCAGCGTCGTCGTGAGCTTGGGCTTGATCGTGTTGGGACCGTAGACAATCTTGTCAAGTGTCTCGGAAATTGCCGTTCGGCTGACCATGATGTAGTTGCCCGTTGCCGTCTGATCCCAGTACTGGCGGGTCTGTTTACAAGGTCAGTATCGTCGTATCTAATGCGAGGGACAAGAGTAGAATCTTACATCGTGGTCATTGATAATGACTCGCTCTCCGTCCTTGACGTCGATCCCGTACGTGGTGCGGATCCATCGCTGCCAGAAGATGCCATCGGCCCAGGCAAACAGGACCTCCTTGTGTCCAGTTCCGTCCATGTCAATACGGATGGTCTTGGCCTGGCGGAGGGCTCGCTCATCGTCGCGGTCCTGGGCCTCTTCGATGCGCATCTGCTTCGCATCGCGGAGCTTCTTCCTCTCGAGCTGGAACTCCTGAATCTGTCTGTCCATCCATTCGTTGGCGGCACTCTTCATCTCCCTCAGGGACGTCTCGAATGACTCCTCCTCGCCCCGGTTGAGAATGCCCAGGACAACGTATTTGCCGTCCATGATCTGGTTGGCGTTGGATGCCGTAAGCTCGGGTACAAGAGGGAGCCATACGGATCTCATCCAGTTCAGAACAGCGTGGACGTCGCGCATCGCGTTGGGCGTCAGCGGCGTATAGTACGTCGGGCGGCCCTCGCGTGAGACCATGAGGCGAGGCCAGGTACTAATCTTGAACCTGTCGTATAATGCTCGATCGTTGGTCTTGACCAGCTTGGCGTGTCCGATGAGGCTGAGGGGCAGCCTCTCGAGAGCCATGAAATCCTCCGACGTGGTGGCATGGTCGTAGAAGTAGATGAAGATGACATCCTCCTTCTCCTCGAGAGCCTCGAACTCCTCGGCGGTGACATCGGGCACGCCGCTGGCGAGGTCGAGGGCGTTATCGGCGTACTGGACAAAGTCGCCAAGTCCACGGAGGCCGTTGTACTCCGAACGCTCGCCACCCTTGAAGAAGAGAATGGTGGGGTACGCTCGTGCGCTAACATCCTTGCACAGGCGGCCCTCCTTGTCGCAGTTGACCTCGCCAACATTGAGCTTGCCGCGCATCGTCTTGGCCAGCTGGTCCCACGTGGGACCCATGGCCTGGCAGTGGGGGCACCACGGGGCGTAGAACTTGATGAACCAAGGGTCTTGGCTCATGGTGACCATTCTCTGGAAGCTCTCGGCAGTGAGAGAGATCGAGACACCGTTGGTATTGGGCGTAACAGTTGGCTTCTTGGGCTGCTTGCTGTTGTGAACCTCGGCAGCTGTAGGCGACTTCCAGTCCTTGCCAAAGGACTTCAAGTTCTCCTTACTCGACTTGCCAGTGGTTCCCTTGCTAGGCTTCTCTAGAGGCTTGTCAGAGCTCTTGTCAGTGCTCTTATCTGTGCTCTTCTCGCTGCTGTCCTCGGCGGCATCCTTGTCGGTGCTCTTCCTAGCGGCGCTGTTGTCGATGCTCTGCTTGGTACCCTTGTCAGGCGATGCCTTGTCTGACTTCCCAAGGTTCTCCTGAGACGACTTCTTGGCGGGAAGCTCGTCAACGGCCAGCTTCTCTTCCGACTCCTTGCTTGACGATTTCTCGTCGGCATCGGCTGCTGACTCGTCATAAGTCGACATCTTGGAAGAGGCCCCTGCGGGGAACTCGGTGGCACCAGGCTTGGGGTATTCGACGGATTTGGGACGCGAACCAGGATGGCGCTTCTCCAGCACTGGCTCGATGAGGGAGCCAATGGTCTCGATGGACTTGGCACCATGTACCAAGTCGATGGGCTCCCCATCCTCATAGAGTATGGTCGTGGGCCAGGTGCGCACGCCATGATCATCGCACAGATCGCCGTGGGCGATACAGTTGATGGCAGCAAAGCCGACGTCGTAGTACTCGGAGAAGCTGGCGTCGGGCATGTCCTCGGGATGAGAGGTGTAGTAGTACTCATAGAGAGTCTGGTAGGTAGGGATGAAGTCGATGCAGTGGGGGCAGTACGGGCTAGCAAGGGACGTCAGCAAGGGGAGGCTTACAGAGGCGCACCACGAGGTTTAGAACCTGCTGGAGAGTATGGGGAGGATGAATACCTGTAGTGCTTCACAACAAGGTACTTGTGCTTCTTCAGTTCGGTGGGAAAGGTGGCGGGACTGAGTTCCATCAGCGGGGGTACCGAGACGCCGTTGAAGACGGTGCTCTTCTCCGATGCGTCATCCTTCTCGGCGCTCTTGGCCCCCACCAGCGCCGCGGCGCCGGCGAGGAAGGTGAACGGTAGCAGCCTCATGATTCCTCTGTGAGAGCTCAGGCAGTTCCAATACAAGAGGACCTGAGGGGTCAAGGACTGCAGGCCAGCTACAGAAGAGAGGGATTGACCACAGGCGCGGGGCTTTGCTGCCGTTTCTCCCCTCTTCCTACGACGAAAGTATTGTATTCGGCGGAAAGGGTTCGATGGAATGACGCTGGTTGTCGCGACCAGATCAGATGGGAAAAACGAATGGCGAGATAATAGTAGAGGGAGGACGCGAAGGTCTCTCTGAAGGCGACGACACTAGGGCGATCGCGATGTCGTGACGGAGCCCATGCACGCAGTGTTGGTAGAGAAAAGAATGGGGAGCGAAGAACGAGTGGAAGAAAGGAAGGAGGAGAGAGGGGCCCTGCACACGTTGCCACGTTGGACTGTCTGGCGATGGGCAGAAGAGAAAGCTGTTGGCGATCAGGGTAGAGGGACACGAGGCCTTAGTCAAAAACCAGGAGTGTTACAGGTTGCGCACGCTGTACCTGGACCGCCACCCGTCGCTGATTGGGTGGGTCCAGGCCGGCGAGGGGACCGCCAACAGAGACAGTGAAGGCGCTGAGGCAGCCTAAAGAACCCCCAATAGTACGCTGTAACTTTACACCAATAACACTGCCAGCGCCTGCCCGCTGGAACCACGTTTCTTCTTAGGTCGTTCTTCCGCTGCCTGCGACCCCTGGGACGCCGGGGGCCCCTGCCTGGACAACACCACTGGGCCTGTACCACCGCACCACTACTCCGTAGTAGCCCATCATTACTCCGTACACCACGGTCCACTACACTGTACAGAGAACTACTCGTACCTCCTCCACCAACATACTCCGTCTATCGATATATGTAATGAGTAATACTACTACTCTGTACACGTACACATAGAAGAGCCCCGTCCACCCAACTCCCACTCTACCCACCCAGCCATCCTTGAATCTGTTTGTGCCCGTTAACCCTAGGAATGATCTGTACATCTGGCACATAGCATTACCACGAGCACATCCATCTTCACATACCCGAAAAAGACATCTAGGTACTCCACCGTCAAGGCTTAGACGGAAATGGAGCCATTGGTAAAACGACAGCGTGCCGGTGAAGAGACGCCGCCGACAAAGCGACGGCATATGGAGGGGGATCGGACGCCCCGGTCTCTATCACAGCCCATCAGCCCGCCTCCGAGGCGGAAGAACCGAGTGTGTCCATCACCATGGCAGCTCACATGGGTCCCAGACCTGCCCGAGCCACAGAACCGCGATGCCATCAAGCTTGGGGATATCCTGGGCGACTCGCTCATCTCCGAGTGCTGGGAGTTCAATTTCTTGCACGACATTGACTTCCTCATGAACGCCTTTGACCCAGACACGAGGCACCTGGTCAAGGTGCACGTCGTGCACGGATTCTGGAAGCAGGAGGACCCGAGTCGCCTAGACCTGATGGTGAAGTCATCACCAATGCATCTATCCATCTCATGACGTCCCCGCCCCTCGATGATATGCATGGTAGGAAGGTGTCCTAGGCTGACGATGTGCAACTGACATGGTTTGCTTGCAGCAAGAGGCGTCAAGATACCCCAACGTTGAGCTGCACGCGGCCTTTATGCCCGAGATGTTTGGCACCCACCATTCCAAGATGATGGTGCTCTTGCGTCGCGACGGCACAGCTCAGGTCGTAATCCTCACGGCCAACATGATTCCTAAGGACTGGACCGTCATGGCCAATGCCGTCTGGAGATCTCCCTGGCTCCCGCTGTCCGCCCAGCCCATGGCGGGGCACTTGCCCTGTCCGGACGATCATCCAGTGGGCAGCGGCGAAAGATTCAAAGCTGATCTCCTGTCCTACCTTGCTGCCTACGACAGGCGCAGAGTAATCTGCAAACCTCTAGCTGATGAGCTGCGCAAGTACGACTTCTCGGCCGTGCGGGCTGCGTTCGTCGCCAGTGTTCCGGGGAGACACGAGAGTCACGACATGTACCAGCCATCCTGGGGTTGGGCCGCTCTCAGGAGGGTCCTCTCAGCTGTGCCGTGTGAAGATGGCGAGTCTGAAGTGGTTGTGCAGATATCATCTATCGCCACCATGGGCCCGACAGACCAGTGGCTACAGAAGACACTGTTCGACTCACTAGGAAGGAGCTTTTCTTTCGGCAAAAAGCCAGAGAGGCCACAGTTCAAGGTCGTGTTCCCCACGGCTGATGAGATCCGACGTTGCCTTGGCGGGTATATGACTGGGGCATCCATCCATACCAAGATACAGTCGCGGCAGCAGGCCCTGCAGCTCAGGTATCTCCGACCAACTCTACACCACTGGGCCAATGACTCGGACCATGGGAAGCGTGAGTCTTGCCAATACGAGAAAGAAACTGAGCACTGTAACCTGATGCGAGTCAAAAAGCATTGCCGGGTGACACCACCACGAGACGCCACGGCGGGAGAGCACGGGTTGCACCGCATATCAAGACGTACATACGCTACAGCCAGAGGGGAACCATAGATTGGGCCATGCTCACATCTTCCAACATGTCTAAGCAGGCCTGGGGTGACACAGCAGCGCCGGGAACGGGCCTCTTCCGCATCGCGTCGTGGGAGGTTGGCGTCCTCGTATGGCCCGACCTGTTTGTCGGTGACGATGAGCAGCAGGATGTCGCCATGGTCCCGACATTCCAATGCGACAACCCTCTTGTGATTCGGGAAGAAGATAGGGAGGGTAAGAAACTGGTGGGTGTACGGATACCGTATAATATGCCGTTGCAACCATATGGTGACCGAGAGGTGCCTTGGGTGGCGAGCATGAACCATACCGAGGAGGATAACTGCGGACACATCTGGGGAGTCGACCAATAATCCTAGTGGAATGAAAGCTCGGAAGACGACGCGCATATGCATGTCCGTAGTCTGCAAGGCGCATTCATCTCAGTGCCGAGTACGGAGTACAGAGTATGAGTAGCAGTGCAGGGAAAGCGCTTTGCTTCTGATGAGTAATATGAGATACGTATGATGTGACGTCTTCCTCCGGTGGATGACGGAGCCTCCACTAGTTGAGTGGTACAGGGTAGCAAAATTACGAGTACGGACTTGGCGAATCACGATAGCGTACGATAAGACGCGGTGGTCAACAGCTTTTCAACTCCTCCTCTTCCAACTCCCCTTAGTCTCTTCTCCATCAGTCCAAATCTCTATGGGTGAGATCCCAAAGGAAGAGCGAAGGTCGAGGAGCTTATTTGTGCGTGACTCTCTTTTTCCCCCTTATTTCCCCACCATTGCCACATCCCTCCCAACTACTAGTATTATTACCCTTACGGTCGGGGTCGCCCGCTGATTCTGGTACATCGTACAAGCCTCAGAGTCGCATCCTTTCACCGGGGGGTCAGAGATAGGAGCATCCCAGCTTTCTTGGTGAAGTCATTGCCAATTGAACCACATTGGCGCCTTCAGGAAAGGAAGGCCAATACGAGGGGGTCGCAGCCATGGTCCAGAACATCCCCGTTGGGTCCCCGGCCCGCGGTGGGAGGAACCCGCTGTCGACGTCATTCACGTCGTCATCACCCCTGGCGGAGGCGTACCTTGCCAGCGACATTGCCGCATGCACTGACGACGGTGAGGATGGAATTGACCAAGACGCGGACCTCGAGGCGGACCGTCAGCTGACGCCAGGCCATATGGCGTACCGCCGTCCCAGCAGCGGTGTGGCCTATGGCGGCACCCGTCCGGTCCTGGGCGCCCAGGTCGCAGACGAGGCTGGGCCGAGTCCCATGGAGCGCCAACAGTCACGCAGCGCAGAGATCAGCCTCCTGCGAGATAACCACGTCTTGCCTCCCAAGCACGCCACGTCCAAGAAGCCGGATGGTCTGCTCCGGCGTCTCTACCGTCGCGTGTTCAGCACCCGCGTGCTAGCCGAGGAGATCACGACGGCGGGGGCGCGAGCACCCCCGGGGCAGCCAAGCGAGCAGTCGCCCCTTCTGGCAGGTGGTAGCGGCAGCGGTCGCGCGAACGGCGGCGCCGACGGCGGCGCCGCAGATGGCGAGGATGAGGAGGCCGCGTGGATCCAGGCCGTGGCGGACGGTCGTCTGCGGACGACGTGGCAGCGCGAGACCAAGACCCTGGCCGAGTACTCTGCGCCTCTGATCGGCACTTTCTTTCTACAGTACTCGATCAACGTGGCGAGCATCTTCGCCGTGGGGCGCATCGGCAAGAACGAACTAGGCGCCGTGTCGGTGGCCAACATGTCGGTGGCCATCTCCTGCATCGCGCCCTTCCAGGGCCTGGCGACGAGCCTGGACACGCTGTGCGCGCAGGCGTACGGCTCGGGACACCGGCACCTGGTGGGCCTGCAGTTCCAGCGCATGACTTTCTTCCTCTTCACGCTCATGGGGCCGGTCGCCGTGCTGTGGCTGTTCGCGGGCGACATACTGGGCCGCCTCATCCCGGAGCCCGAGTCGGTGCGTCTGGCGGCGCTGTACCTGCGCGTCATGATCTTCGCCATCCCGGGAATTATCCTCTTCGAGACGGGCAAGCGCTTCACCCAGGCCCAGGGCCTCTTCCGCGCCACCACGTACGTCCTCGTCATCGCCGCGCCTCTCAACATCTTTCTCCTCTGGCTGCTCGTCTGGAAGCTGGAGCTGGGCTTCGTGGGGGCGCCCATCTCCGTCGCCATCATGGAGAACCTGCTGCCGATCCTGCTGTTCCTGTACGTCCGCTTCATCGACGGGTCGCAGTGCTGGGGCGGCTTCAGCAAGCGCGCCTTCTCGAACTGGTGGGTCATGATCCGTCTGGCGCTGCCGGGCATGATCATGGTCGAGGCCGAGTGGCTCGCCTTCGAGATCATGACGCTGCTGGCTAGCCGCTTCAGCGCCGAGCATCTCGCCGCCCAGAGCGCCGTGGCCACGCTAGCGTCCATATCTTACCAGATCCCCTTCCCCGTGTCTATCGCCGCATCGACGCGTATCGCCAACCTTATCGGTGCTGGGCTCGTGGGACCTGCCAAGTTGGCAGGCAAAGTCGTGAGTTCCCTTTCCCCCTTCCCCTTAACCTCTCTCTATTCTCTTCCCTTTAGCCGAGCATCGTCATATGACGGAGAGAAGTCAAGAGGTCAAAGGACGGGTTGAGGAAAGATACTAACGGGTAGATAGGCCTTTATCGTATTCTGCATCATTGGCACCTTCAACCTCACCGTCTTCAGCACCATGCGCTACTACCTCGCCCTCCTCTTCACCCGTGACCCGGATGTTGTCAGCATCATCACCCGCGTTCTCCCCATCGTAGCTGTCATGCAGGTCTTTGACGGCCTGTCAGCCGGTGCCCACGGTCTCCTCCGCGGAATAGGGAAGCAGTCCATCGGTGGGCCCGCCAACCTGATCGCCTACTATGTCATTTCCCTTCCCATCTCCCTTTGGCTAGCGTTCGGTTTAGGCTGGGAGCTCGAGGGTCTCTGGATAGGTGTCACTGTCGGGCTTGTCGTGTGAGTTATCCTCCTCTCTTGTTTCTTTTGTTTCTTTTGTTTCTTTATACTTGCCCTTTCCCTCTCATCTCTTTCTTTCCTTCCATTTCTTCTTCTTTGGCGTATAGCCTGCTAATACCGTCTAGTGTCTCTGCTATCGAATACACATTCTTGTTCCTGACTAGTTGGGAAGTAGCCGCACAGGAAGCCGAAGCCAGAAACCAGGAGGCTTAAGATGTACATTTCGCTACTCCCTCTGGATATTGGTAGAGCAGTCTCTCCCTCAAACTAGCAAGCAAAGGGCATTTTTTCCTACCATATTTTCTTTTTCGATCTATACCCCCTATTGATCTAACAAGAAACAACGTGCTAGATGTACAAGGCGATTTGTGCCCTATGATTTTATTTGATCATCTTATCTGCGTCGTTGGGATATAACAAGAACACTCCGTCCAGGGAACACAGGTTACCTACGTCATTTCCATACCATCTCCCCCCCCTCCGAAAGCGTACATATAAGAGACAAGAAAAAAAAAGAGATATTCCATCATGTTACGTCTTCTACTCCGCTCGATACCAGAAGACCCGTGTGAGAGAGTATCACTCTACCCTAGCATAGAGTGGTTCCTAATACCCTTGGGGCCGAGCTCACTAGAGAAGAAAAAAAGAAAGAAAGAGTCAGTATAATATTTCTTGTAGAGGGGCGTCTGTGACGCGGCATCCGGCGCAAGGTAAAGAGAAACAAACAAGGGTGGTGAAGAAAGGGCATACTTGTAATCGACGCGACTCAGGCTAGCCATCCTCTGAGCCTCGACACTCTGAGCATCCATATTGGAGTGCAGGCAGAAAACGATGCGGGAGGCGACCTGTGCGCCGAGGAACATGGCCTCCTCGAAGCCATTCTTGGACCACTCTTGCAGATAGGTAGGCAGGGCGACGGTCTTGATGGCGGTCGGAGTCTGGCTGTGGAAGTGGTGGGTGGCGACGGGTGCGGCGGCGGCGGCGGAAGCCCCATTCTCGCTGCCGGCCGCGTTGACGGCGACGGCGGTGGAGGCGGCGGCTGCGTTGGCCGTGGTGGCCGCCTGGAGGAGAGGGTTGGGACCGCCGGGGGCGACGGCGGTGCCGGTCGTAGGGGTCTGGGAGCCGGTGCCGGTCGGGGTGGCGACGTTGGACGGCAGCTCCGAGGTGAAGATTGTGGCGGTGGAGGGGGACACCAGGTGTCGGGCGTTGAGGGTCTGGAGTATGTTCTCCCTCAGGCCGCGCAGGCGGGCGCCGTTGCCGACGAAGACCAGGTTCTCCCAGCAGGAGGGGCGCATGTACATGTCGTCTATGCCCTGGATGGCGTGGTAGATTGCCCCGACGATGCGGTCAATCTCCTGGCGGTCGGCGAAGGCGAAGCGTTCCGGGCCAACCTCGATGTCGCGACGGACACGCTTGGGACGCGTCTCTGTGGGGACATCAGACGTCGCTTCTGGTGCTGCTGCCGTCGGTACCTCCCCTTCTGCCGGGCGTTTGGTATCGGCACCAGCGCCAGCATCGGTATCCTCTCCCTCCCCCACCCCTTCCTGATCCTTCTTCTTCTGCTCCTCGGTCTGCCCTTCTGTCGGGCTAGGCTTGGGCTCGGCGCCGCTGCCCTCTTCAGGCTTGCCCTCGAGCTTGGACTGCTTGTCTCCCGCCGTCGTCGGCGCCGGTTCTTCAGCCGTGGCGGTGGCGGTGACGACAACTGGCACAACCACGGCCTTGGGCACCTCCTCCTGCACGATCTCCTCGTAGGAGAATGAGTTATGCGTCCTCTTAGAGTTTGGCAGTCTGGCGGCCTTTGAAGCGACCGACTCGCCGCCGGCCTTCTTCTCCGCGGCCTTCTCCTTCTCCCTCTTTGCGAGGAACTCCTTTGTCTGGCCGCTGGTGACGATGCTGGCGACATCCAGGACGCCCTCATCGTTCTCGACCGTCTCAATACCACCATCACCACCATCACCAACAGCAGCAGCAGCAGCAGCGCTACCGTTGGCAGCAGAGACTCCATTCTGCTCATCGGCAGCAGCGGGGTTGGCAGGAGCGGCGGTGACCTCCGGCCCGGCACTGACGGCGGCGGCGGCGGCGGCAGCCTCCTCCGTCTTGGCCGACTCCATCGTGCCGACTGTGTCCTCGGCCGGGAGCTCCATGAGCAACTTGTGCGACGGGGCGTAGGGGAGGACCTCGCAGATGGGCGAGCGCTTGAGCTGCTCGGCCATATCTGCGGTGAAGCCGCTGGAGCGGAGGAGGTTGTGGAGGCGACGGGTGAAGACGCGGCCTCCGCTGATGGTGGCATCCTCCTCATCCTCCTGATCAGAAGAGGAAGAAGAAGATGAGAAGTTGCCGGCTCCGACGTGGACATTGTTGACGACTCGACCGTCATAGATGGCCGTGACGTCCACCTTCTCGTAGCCAATGTCCACGACGGTCATGTTGGGCACCTTGAGGCCGTACTGCGTGGCGATGGCGCTGTGGATGAGGCACAGGGCGGGCGTGCGCGTGCGCTCGAACACGTACTGCGCTATGGCCTCGCAGTCCGGGCGCGTCCACTGCGGCGACGCCATGAGCATGACGGGCGTGTTGTGGTACGTCGCCGTCAAGACCGTGTGCACGTGGTCTAGGAAGGCCAGGAAGGCCGCCATGTTGACGATGCGCCCGCCTCGGAGCGGGTACACGGCCCCCTCGTCCGAGTCCACGTCCTCCACCCACTCATCCTCGGCCTTGCCGTCGACAATCCTCGTGCGTTTGAATGTGTGGTACGGTCGCCATGTCTTCGCCGTCGTCGTCGTCGTCGTCGTCGTTAACACCGTCTTGGTCGTCTCATTCTCGTTGTCCGAGTCATCCTCTGTGTCGGGGAACATGCGCGTGGGGAACCGCCGAGCCGGCGGCGTCAGCTCGTTACACCCCAGCTGCGCCATGGTCGTCTGGCTGCCGGGGCAGATGATGAGCACCTGCTCTTCGCGCCATTTGGTCAGCGACATTGTTTGCGTTCCTGTCCCTTTTATATACACTATCGTTGCTGCCTCTTGCTTTCACTTCGAGGGCCGACGCGCCAATTAGTCCCCTAGTCTGTACCACGCCTTGCTTCGAGACCTAGGTGGGAAGGAAGGGAGAAAGGGATGCGCGATCTTGCGATTGGCTTGGATTGGGAGGCCCGAGGGAGAAGGGAACTGGTGATCGTTGACACCTCGTAGCTTGGTGGAGCAGGAACATTCCTTTCGCGCGCCGCGTTCGTGGCTGGTGGTGTGGCTGGTGTACACGTGATCCACTGTCCGTACTCGTGCATGAAAATTGTCCATTGCCAGCATCCAGACATCTGTATATCTTGTGTCACCCCTTTTTTTTTAATCTTTTCGAGACATTTTTATTCTTGCGGTAGTTCACATGTTTGGGACTCCTTTGAAATCGTTTTATTCTTTCATGTCAGATGGTACCGCTGAATTTTATTTCTCCGAGGAATTTCCACATTCATCCCAATTCAACTCCCGGAAAATCTAATTGAATAACGACAAAAACTCCCCAGGGGAATGAACCCAAGCAACGACGGAAACAGAAACGGCTATATCCAAAATATGTAAAATTGAAGTGAAGGAAGAAGAGATGTGTAGACAAAAGTAATGACAAGACGCCCCTGGTCCTGAGTATTGTGCACCGTCACATGACGGAAAAGAGGGGGGGAAACAGTACCCTCCCATGAAAAGTATGAAAAGTGTACAGTAAGAAGAAAAATAATGTATAGAATATGTATCTTCGCCCGGTGTGAAGAAGGAGAAGAACTCTCGCCAAACGATTCGAAAGAAAAAATCAAGAAGGAAAACTTTTTGTCAATTGTATATATTATGCCCTTTCGGACAAGGAAATGTGGCAAGAAGAGTGTGAATGGGAAAACGGCGAGTGTAGAAAAGGGGGCGGTGAAGGAGAAGGACGTGTCTTGTCGACGTATAAGTAATATCAGGTATATCGTATCTTTAGATCAGAGATGTAGAAATCTGACAGTAGAGAGTAAATTCGTCACGTCGTGTCGTTGAGAGAGAGAGT